ATAGTCCATATATTAACTGTGTCTTTACTTAGCAAGACAAGATTTCTATCTAGGTCTTTGCAACCAGCAACGTTATCGCCCTGGCCCGGGACTGAAGTTGTCAAACATCCTGCAAGCCCCCTCTTCAAAAGACTCTTCCCAGTAATCAAGATCCAAGAAGAAGATACAGCAGACAAATGGACTTCTTCATCCTGAGAACTGTGATTGACTTTACCTTACAAACAGCATGTTTTATAATATTTTATAATTATTGCTTCCATGCTTTGTATACCCTGTTCCTTAGAGTAAATCTTTTACTGCCCCTCACCCATTTACTTGCATGTATCACATTTTCAATAAAAAGGCACGATGATTCCTAGCAGTTGTCATTCCTCAGAGAGTGATCTTTGAGGGGTGTCCGGCATAGGACGTGCATCTGTTCACCTTCGCCGCCTCCATCGAGATAACCCACCCACGCCGAGGCTGGACCCCGGCAAATAATAATTGAAATATTCTGTAGGCCCCTACAAGAATATCTCGTGGGCTCTGGGCACTGTGCCTTCACCATTGTCTAATGAAGAGGTGGCCATCAGAATAATACATTGGCCTATGTATTAACTAGTACTTTCTCCTTCATTTGTATGGTCACAGAGAGGTATTGTAGTTATATTGTTTCAGGGGAGAGTGACCCAGCAGGCAGCGAAATAGCCAAATTCTTGCATTTGGAATATGAAATCTTATGTCTAAGGATGCACAGTATATTTCTGGAAGAACAGATGAGAGCCAGGCCACCCTGTCCCATAGTAAGAGAATTCACAGATGGAGCGGGAGGAAGACCAGAGAAGTTGAGAATATTTGGATTTGTCTGGAGTCCCAAATTTGAATTAAGATTCTGAAAATCGTGGAACCAGATGAGACTTGTCATTGACTCTCCCAACCCTTTCACAGGGAAATGTTTGTGGAAGTGTTGAAGGCCTACATGTGTCATCAGGCTCAGGGTACTGGGAAAATGAAACACATCAGCCTGGTGGGCCAGTCAACAGCTCAGTGCTGATGTCTGGGTTTCTAGAAATCTTGGGTAGAGTGGGACACAAGAAGGTTTTTGGTAAGCTTGAGGGCAGCATTCCTGTGGCAGAGTGCCAGGCCACCAAGAGGCTGTGTGGCAAGACAGAGGACAGAGACCTGTAAGGATCTGTAAGGGGAGACAGCAGGGGAATGAGGATGTTTCTGTAGATGCCAGCGAGGAAAAGCAATGACAACGGAGGTTCTTCTTGGTATCATGACACCATATAACCCCTCAGAGCTGGAAGAAATCCCCAGCTGACCAAGATCCAGTTTTGTTACCTAGCAAAATGAGAACGTGGGAAGGCTTGACTGTAGCACAGTGACAAAATACCACGCTTAGTGAGGTTGACCTACATGGGAAAATTCCAGGTTTATGTCTGGAGATGTTCCTGGTTATACTGGGTATGTTCCCATGACCCAGGGCTGGCTGAAGCTGGGGGTGGATCGCAGTGTGAAGATCCATGGTGGGAGTGCTCTTTCTCTCTCTCTCTCTTTCTCTGTCTTTCTTACTCATGGAAGAAAAAAAATAAACCTTTTTTAAAAAATGAAATCATGGGAGAGAAATTAAGTTCAATTATGGAAAGAAAAGGTTGCAATTTTACACCAGATTTTGAAGCCCAGTTAGTATTCACTATATGCTTATGGTTGCCTTACACCACGTGGGGGGCCTTCTGCCTTTAATTTTTCATTTTAATTCTTTTTTTCTAAAGAATTATTTATTTAATTTTACTTATTGTTATTATTTTTAAATTTGATGAGAGATGGAGAGAGAGAGAGAGAGAGAGCGAGCAGGAGCATGAGAAAGCAAGCTGCCAGGTCTGGGACTCAAACTGCAGTCAGCCCTGTGAGAGTCTAGCACCTTAACCACCACACCACCAGCTGGCCCCAATTTTTTCATTTTAATTCTTAGACACCTTAAAAGGCTTTGTTATTATTGCTATTCTCATTTTACACATATGAAAATGGAAACACAGAAAGGTTAATGATTTGCCTAAAGTCACATAGCTAAGGACCTAGATGAGCAGACTTGAACCCGTGGCCCCGTTCACTCTACCACTCCTCGTCCTTTATGTTGTTTCATATTCTCTCTCTTTTTTTTAAAGAGCGATTTTTGCTGTAGAGTGCGTGAACTCACCAGAGAGAGAAAGAGACAGAAACAGAAGGCAAAAAAAAAATTGCCTAGCATGAGTCTTAAGCCACTGGGTCCAGGACTCGAACTGTGGTTGACTACATGGGAGTCCAGTAATGTAAACATTATGCCATCTGCTGGTGCCTAATATTCTCTTTAAGGACTTAAGCTAGAGCTGCCTGTCAGGCTCTCATAAAATGCTGGTAGGTTACCAAAAAGCATTTAGCGTTTTGCAATTTGACATGAGGGAGGAAACGCGCTGAAGTGCAATGCTGCCCTGGCTTCCCTGGCTGCTGTGTTCTACTGTGAGAACTCTGTGCTCATGCTCAGAGGTGGGGATGTGGGGGAGTTATGGGACTGTAGTGCAGTGGGGAGCCCAACTCGCTAAAGTGGGTGGGAGTCAAGGCCTGAAGGGCCTCATGACTCGGATGCTCGATATGCTATCCAGGTTAAGGGAGGCCGTTCTGCTTCCATAGCCTCGCACGTGTACTCACCACATAGTCGACTTTTCTTATTGAATTGTCTGTCTCTGTGGCCAGACTGTAAGCAACCGAAGGCAGGGACTCCATCAGACTTGCTCTCCACTGCATCATTTGCACCTAGCAATGCCTGGCACATAGTTGGTATTTAAATATCTTTGCTAGGGGCCAGCAGATGGCATAGCAGTTACATACATCACTGGATTCCCACATGGCCAACTGTGGTTTGAGTCCCAGACCTGGCAACTTCAAAATCAGGCCAGGCGCATGTGTGTGTGTGTCTAAGATCCTGGGAGGAGGATGGAGGAGACGGGACTGTGGAATGGCCATCCTCCCCGGGGTGTGATTTCTCACTCTCTCTCTCTCTATCTCTCTCTCTCTGGTGAGCACATGCACCCTAAGGCAAAAAACCTCTCCAAAAGAAAAAAAATCTATGTATATTTGCTAAATGGAGCCCAACCTTGGTAGCACAAGTAGAAGCTTACAGATCGGTAGTGCTGGAAACCGTGGCCAACTGGAAATACAGAAGTGCTCATGCATGTGCCCAAAATCCTCCTGGTTGGCTGGAGGGGACCTGGAGGAAGATCAGGGTATGACAAGAACCTATTGAGGTTGCCTCTTTCTCTTTTTCTCAATAAAATAAAAAACCAAAACCAAAACTTGTCTCGTGAATAAATGTAACAGATGGATGGACAAATTCTGGGTCCTTTGGTCTTCCTTGCGTAATCGTAGCCCTATATTCCTTAATAGCAAGGCCCCTTCTGAGGGGTGATTGGTCTTAAGCTTCCTTTATCTCAGCTAGCAAGGACTTAGAAGAGCAGCTACTTCTGCGGCTGGCCACTTCACTTTCTTTTTCTTTCCATATTCCCAAATCCTGCCTTTCTTCTTACTCCTAACTACTCTTTTAGTCAAGATGTTTGAAATATTTTTTCCTCTCTCATCTACATTTTTAAGAACTTTGTTTTTTTCTTTCTTGTTTAATTATCAGCTTCCTTTAGACTGTCCTTAGAAGCAGGAAGCACAGGCTATAAATCAACGTGAGCAAATACTATGCCCTCTCATTTTGAAAAACATTGTAATTAAAATTCATGGTAGAAAGCATTTCTAAAGTGGCAAGTTGCCTTTCTAAGATATTACCATGTCTTATTTTAGAATTTACTGTCGGAAACTAATCTACATTATTAAATAAGATTCAGTTCATTGGAGCCACTGAATAATTACTCTGTTGGATTCTGTGATATTATTAGTTTTATCACATGTGCTAAGTTGCTTTTAGGAAGTAGCTTCAGTATTACTTGAAAAGAGAAGAAAAGCACTTTATATGTCACAAAACCTGGTAAACTTATTATTAAAATAATGTCACAAATACAGTAAATTTTTATTGGCTAATTTTTAAAAATTGAAATGCTATGCATGATAAACGAACCTTATCCCTTAATGGAATCTTAATTTATTTTTTCTTAAGGCACCATGACAGAGAAGCTTTTCCCAAAGATTATGATATAGAAGGTCCAGAGACTGTTAAAAAACTGTGTAATTCAACATATTGGCGACTTGGAACTGATGAACCCCCTGTAAGTAGTTGCTCTTAATTTCTTTGGTTTAAGCCAGAAATATTTATTATAGTTAAACATGAAAGAGTAAAAGGAGAGCATTTTTTCAGTACTACCCTTCCTAGCTATGTTTGTTACTTAGGTAGGTGACTCAGCCACTGAGCACTTCAACAACTTTACCTGGAAAGGTACCTACTTTAGGGGGCTAGAGAGTGCAGTGCAACATTCTGCAAGGCTGACCCACACAGGAAGGTTCTGGGTTTGTGTCTAGAGACCTTCCTGAGTATCCCAGGCATGCACATACACATGCTCATGATCCAGAGCTGGTGGAAGATGGGGGTGGATCATGACATCAAGACCATGTTGGAGGTGCTTTCTCTCTATCTCTGTCTCTGCTTCTCTTGCTCATGGAAGAAATAAACATTAAAAAATATTTTAAAAATATGCCTACTTCATAAGGTTACTTCTAAGGTTACTAGGGAATTAAGTGAGATAAAGTGAAGTTATCACGGTGTCTGACACATAGCACGTGCTCAAGAAATTGTTACCATTGTTATGATGCCATTATTTTAGTAAGTATCTTGCTTGAAGTATCCTTTCACTTCCACAATAACCCTGTAACATTAAAAAATATTTTAAAAATATGCCTACTTCATAAGGTTACTTCTAAGGTTACTAGGGAATTAAGTGAGATAAAGTGAAGTTATCACGGTGTCTGACACATAGCACGTGCTCAAGAAATTGTTACCATTGTTATGATGCCATTATTTTAGTAAGTAGCTAGACGTATCCTTTCACTTCCACAATAACCCTGTAAAATCTCTACTTTTTTGGTGAGGGGAAAGAGACTCCTAGAGGCTAAGCAACTTACCCAAAGTCACATAGCCAGGGAGTGGAGGAGTGAGAATTTGGATCTAGGTCTTTGATTTCAGGTCTTGTGTAGTTGTCTGAAGTTAGTGCAGCTGTGAGTAATTAAAACATACCAGTGCGGCCAGCAGATGGCATCGTGGTTAAGGTGCTAGACTCTACATGGTCAACCGTGGTTCGAGTCCCAGACCTGGTAGCTTACTTTCTCATTTTCCCTCTCTCTTTGCCTTTCTTCAGTGAGCACATGTACCCTATAAATTAATAATTCTTAATTGTTAGTAATATTCTCACAACATTTGTACAACCTAGTTCTAAAAAGAAATTCATTGTATAAGTAACTCCTATTTGAATTGCTGTGAGTGGGTTGTTCCTTCTTGGCCACTTGGGCGTCAGCCCAATTAGTGAAAAGCAGTGCTCAACTCTCAAAACACCCCTAGATTTTATCCTACAATGTCAGGGGCTTTGGGGCTAGCTTAAGACTCAATTCTGAGGCCAGATTATAGTGTGGTGGTAAAACATGGTGCTCTGCAAGGCTGACCCACGTGGGAAGGCTCCAGGTTTGCATCCAGAGTCTCCCTGAGTACAGTGGGTGTGTACATACCCATGATCTATGGCTGGCTGAGGCTGGGGGGTGCATCATGGCTTTGGGACCCTGTTGGGGATGTTGCCTCTCTTTCTCTCTCATGGAGGAAATAAATAAACTTTAAAAAAAGACTCAATGCAATCTTGTAGGATGGTCTTGAAGCCTGAAGAACTGATTATTTGACTAGGATTGATGTGAAAATGATGAAAAGGCTGACTTTGTATCACTGCCTCCCTGCAAAGGGTTGGCTAGTTTCAAATCAGATTTTTTTAAGTTTATTTTTTATTATCGAGAGACAAAAACTAGAGAGATTACTCTTAGGTACCCTTGACAGGGTCTTGCCACACTGCAGTCCTCTCCCCAGCCTCCTAGCCAGTCAGGGTCATGGGTACACGTGGATGTGCCTGGCATGTTCAGGTCACCCAGCTTCCTAACCTTGGCCTCCCACACTGCTCCAGTATTGCACAGTGTTCCTAATCTTGGCCTCCCATATGATTCCAGTATTGCACGATGGTGCCCTTACCATCCCTACCACTGAAGCCACGCCCAGATCAGTTTTTGAAATACAGAGCCCTAAGAAGATCCATAATTCTACAGTGGAAAGTGTCCTAGAAGATTCTCTGTTCTCCAAGATAATGGGAATGAGCTAATTTATCATGGGAGTGTCATTTCCTCCCTTCCTCACAGAGTTGCAATGGAAAGAGTAATAAGGATGGCCTAAAAATGGGGATTTATTGTAAAGGTACAGCTGCCCAGTTGTAGAATGAAGAAACAAGAACCAAGACAGCCCTAAAGCAAGCATCCCATCCCCTACTTCACCTCTCTCTCTCTCTCTCTCTCTCTCTCTCTCACACACACACACACACACACACTCTCTTTCTTGGCATCTCCATTTCTCTCTGCTTAGGTTTTTCTTCCCCAAATCTGAATCTCAAGGACAATCTGGTGGTTTCCTCAGTCTCCATTGAATTCCCTTGCTCTTTGCACCAGATGGCCCTGTTGGCCGTTATCTAGCACATGGATGAAACTCTTGAGTCTGATGCCCAACTCAACCAATAAACTCCCTGCTCTACTCTTCCTCAAAACCCAGCTTGAGCTTGCTTTCTCGACCATGAATCAGGACAAGAGAAAATGGGATAAACAGGCATTTCCTCATATGCATTTAGAATCTTTGTTTCTGAAAAAGCATTTATTTTTGACTCCTAGATAAGAATAGTCATGGTCTCTGGATTGTGGGAGAAAGTGAGACAAAATGAAATATGAAACAAGAAACACAAACATTCATTCTCCTACACTATGCACCACAGCAGTAAAGCCTCAGGTGTAATGGAGGATGTATAAATTAAGAGTAACATTTGCCTTTCCATGTCTTTCTCTTATGGACTTTGAAACACTGTCCTTCCTCTACCAGGTTTGGATTATGTATTAGATAGCAAGGAAATGAAACTAAGGAGCCTGTTTCAGATGAAACCACTATACCTATATCTTAAGAGTAAGTTACATTTTTCTCTATAGACTTTTTGGATATAAAACATCCTGGACCAGCAGTTAGCATAATGGCTATGTCGCTGAACTCCCATGCAGGTGACCGTGGTTCAAGTCCTGGACCTGGTGGCTTAAACTCATGCTGGGTGCATGTGTGTGTGTGCCCAGGATCCTGAGAGGAGAATGGAAGAGAAGGGATTGCAGCATGGCCATTCCTCCAGAGGGGTGATTTCTCACTTTTTGTCTCTCTGTCTCTCTGGCGAGCACACGCACCCTGTAGCAAAAAGAAGAAAGAGAAGAAGAAGAAGAAGAAAAAGAAGAAGAAGAAGGGGAAGAAGAGGAGGAAGAAGAAGAGGAAGAAGAAGAAGAGGAAGAGGAAGAAAAAGAAGAGGAAGAACAAGAAGAAACACTGGACCATTCATCTTGTTCATTCATCTTGTTTTTCATTCTTCACAATGAAGCTATAAAGTTGGCAAGAAAGATATTATTTCCAGTTGTAAACACAGACTTATAGCTCTTACATGACTTCCCCGAGTTCCCAAGTTTAAAGAGAAGGAGAGAGGACAGGCACAGAGCCTGCACAGCCTCCACATCCGTGATCCTGGATGTAGCAGGAGGAGGATGAGTCCCTCTTCCTGTCATCATGGAGTTTGGATAGAGGGCAACTGATCATTGGTAGGACCCACATATCCCAAAGCAAGAAGCTGGACTACTTGAACAGAACTTGCTAAGAGACTCGACTAGGTTAAACCCATCTGAGTAGTTATGTCCTTGAAGACTAGGGGCTGAAGAGTTAAAAGAGGACTTATTGGGGCCAGCAGGTGGTATGGTGGTTAAGGTGCTAGACTCCCACACGGTCAACTGTGGTTCAAGTCCCAGACCCAGTGGGGCGAAACTCACACCAGGTGTGTGTGTGTGTGTGTCTGTGTGTGTGTGTGTGTGCACCCAAAATCCCAGGAGGAGAATGGAAAAGAAGGGACTGAAGCATGGCCATCCCCACTGGGGGGTGATTTCATGCTTCTGTCTCTGTCTCTTCAGCAAGCACATGAGCCCTCTAGTAAAAATCTCTCTTTCCAAAAAAAAAAAAAGATAGTTGTGACTTGCATCTATCTCCTCCCCCAATTGAGAGAGGTTAAAAAAAAAACACTCAGAGTGATGATTATGTAATTTAGAGGACACAGGGTGCCCGAATATGGCTTATTACTGAGAACCTAAATGTGAGATGTGAGACTTGAGATGGAGCGAGTCACCCTTGAGGAATGGTGATGACCAACGACTTGTGAGTTTACCAGTGGAAGAGAATCTGCCAGAGCACTCTTAAAAGAGGCTGACTGGGGTAGGAATGGAGGGGGCAAAGAGGCCCAGCATGAGAGACCCACCAGATACACAAGGCTCAGGAAGAGGACCAAGATCAGTCAGAAGAAGCTTTGTCTGTTTCCAGGAAATGCAAGTTGGAGGTCCTCAATGAGAGAATCCCTGGAAACAATGACAGAAGTGTCCAAGGAGAGAAAGGGTCAATGTTGAATATCCTCTAAGCCTAGGGCCTGTGCCTTTTCACTTGATTTCTCCCCATCTGTCAGACCTGGGTGAGGTCTGTGAGTAGGAGAGAGAGGCAGAGGAGGTAGCTGCAGCTGACCCAGGTTCCACCGCTTGCAGGCTGCTAGACTAAAGTAGGTGAGAAATTTGCATCTAATACAGTGAGAAGGTTCAATTACTTTACTAGACTGGAAACTTTCATAAGTAACATGAGATCCTTCTTGAGATTTGAGGGGCCCAGAAAAGCTGAGACTTGCCTAAGATTTCTATCAAACAGG